AAAGGGCGGGTTAAACAGGTTCACATCACTCCTATTGTTGACAAGATCTTGGAAAATTTGGCTAGCTCGAAAGGTTCTTGTCTCTCCATGGCTGGTAGGCTGACTCTGGTGAAATCTGTAATATATAGGATGACAATGTACTCCATCAATATTTATAATTGGCCCATATCTTCTATTAAAAGTCTTGAGAAGGCTTGCAGGAATTTCATATGGTCTGGTAGCACTGACAAAAGAAAGTTGTGTGTTGTTTCTTGGAAGAAAACTTGCCAACCTTTCTCTAAGGGTGATTTCTGGTTAAGATCGATGTTCTGTCTGAACGAAGCGACTAATTTGTAGCTCCTTTGGGACATGTTCAATAGTAAAAATGATTGGGCCATCCTCCTAAAGAAAAGAGTCCTTAAGAATCATGGCTTCATTAAGTATCACATCTTATCCACGATTTAGACTAGCATAAAGAATGAGATCTCCTCGCTTCTCTAAAACTCTTTTTGGTGTCTTGGCTCAGGTTGCAATGTTAAGTTCTGAACGGATTCTTGGATTGGTGAATCCCTCATAAATGATACAGACATAGTTCATATTGTTCAAAAGGCATTAATTCCAACAGTTGGGTTGCAGATTTATCCTCCCAGGGTCATTGGTCCATTCTGGCTTATTGGTTTCTTTGGTTTCCTTTTGTGACGGTGAGGATTACGCAATAGAAACCTCCCAAGAGTAGCTTTGACGACTTCTTCTATTGAAAAAAACACCACTAGGTTTTTTAGACCTTAAGAGCACTTACAGATTCAAATCCAAGCCATTTTCGAAGTATTCTTGGAGCAAGGGTATTTGGCACAACAATATTCCTCCCAGCAGATCGACTCTTATATGGAAATGATTCATAAAAAAATCCCCATCGATGATTTTTTGAAAGAAAGAGGTATCTCAATGGCTTCTAGATTCTCCCTTTGCTGCGAGGAGGTTGAATCTTTTCAACACCTTATTTTTTATTGCAGGTTTTCCAATAGGCTTTGGAGATGGCTGATGCAATGATTTCAGATTTCAAATAACTCTAATTCTATAGTTGGTTGGCTAGAGGTCAGTAGCAGAAATAAATCCTCGCAGGCGGCTTTGGTTCTTAATGCAACTGTCATCAATACAGTGTTTAAGATATGGAAGACCAGAAACAATGCAAAGCACAACATGCGCAAGACTACTCATGATGTTGTTACTGATTGGATTTTATTTTAGGTTCAACTTTCGAGTAACTCCACATCCATATCTGCCCGAATCAATATGCTAGATTTCTATTTTATTAAGGCGTTTAAAGTCAACATACACCCCCCAAAGCTCCTATTATCAAAGAGGTTTTTTGGATTCTTCCGATTCTCGGTTGGTACAAATGCAAGTGTGATGGAACTTTCATTCATGTCAACTCCAAAGTTGATGGATGTGGTATTTTTAGAGACCATATGGTAGATTTCCTTATGGCTTTTGTCGATAATCTTTCTTGTGTTTCTCTATTCACGCCGAATTCGGAGTTGTGATCAGAGATATGGAGATCAGTATTGATAGGGTTTGGTCTATGCTTTAGATTGAAACCGACTCTATTTTGGTGGTTCAAGCTTTCTCCAACCACAAGTTAGTTCATTTAATATTTAGAAATCGTTGACTTTTTTTCCTTCTTCAGAATAGATTTTCTCATATAATTTTCACTCACATTTAAAGTGAAGGTAATTCTTGAGCTGAATTTTTGACGAATTTCGCGCTTGACATTAGTTCTACCATCATTTTTTATTCCTTGCCTTCGGATATTCGGAATGATTTTGTAAAAAATAGGTTAGACATAGCTTTCTTTAGGTTCTTGTAATCTTTAGGGCTAACTTGTTCCCATTTTATAGCGCTTTCTTTGATATATAAAGATCCTTATTAAATAAAACTAAAAGTGGTTAAATGCACCTTAAAGTGCACTTTTTGTTTTAGCAAATTTTAACTTAACAAATTATATATATATATATATATATATATATATATATATATATATATATATATATATATATATATATATATATATATATATATATATAGTGTGTGTGCATACCAGTGCATGACATGAGATAAAATTTCGTATATTAAAAAAATATTTTATATTTATATTTTAAAAATATTTTCTCTTATTTCACAAAGATTCAATAGAAAATATTTGATAATTCATTTATTTTTTGAAAATACTGACTTTTGAGATAACTTTCCAAGAAGATGGGGTTCATGCTATTGTTAACCACAAAAACACCAATCAAATAGTATATCCTTCTGATTTACCATATTATCAAGCACACTTAAATCTTTTAAATGTGTCATCGAGTCTAAATTATTAGTGCCTCCAAGTTTTGCCAAATAATTAGTTTGTTAATGAGATAAGTTATTTTGACATTTGAATGTTACACTCACACCGTATATACAATTTTAATTTTTTTTTAATTTTTTCTCTCCTCTTTTTAAATGAAAATATTATTGAAAAAAAAAAGAAAAAATAGACTGAAAAATAATTATATAAATTTTTAAAAATAACTAATGTTAAGAAAAATTATTAAACATATACTTTATAAAAATTTATTGTCAAAAATAGGAAAAAAAGTTTTTTTTTTAGGATAGATAGAGTTGTAATAATAAAAGTGTTTATAAAGCTTATAAATTTTTTTTTAGGATTCATAGAGTTATAATAAAAAAGTATTTGTACGAATTTTGATATGATCACTTGTGTATTCACACATTACTGATGTGTTATCAGTGCGTTCACATGGATACTGATGCATTATACACATTTGTTTTTAAAATATAATAAAAATATAATTAACTTAAAATTAAAATAAAAGCTAATTAAAACTTTCAATAATAATAAATTATTTAAAACTAATATATATATATATATATATATATATATATATATATATATATATATATATATATATATATATATATATATATATATATATATATATATATATATATATATATATATATATATATATATATATATATATATATATATATATATATATATATATATATATATATATATATATATATATATATATATATATATATATATATATATATATATATATATATATATATATATATATATATATATATATATATATATATATATATATATATATATATATATATATATATATATATATATATATATATATATATATATATATATATATATATATATATATATATAATTGTATTCATTTCACAGTTTATCAAGCTATAGCCTAAAATTGAAATAAATAAATTACTATAATTTAAATAATAGTACTTTTAAGTATAAGGAAACAAAAGGAAACAAATTGGATGCATCATTCCGTATAATTTAAATAATAGGACTCTTTTCCAACATTAATCACCTGATAATGAAAAGCAAAAAAAGCAACACAATTAACAGAAAACACCATACAATTAATATTAATATGAAGTTAAAAACTCATTACAACAAGCATTGGTTCATCTGAGTTGAATTGGACATTAAACTAAAATAGAAATTTGAAGTTGAAAACTCATCACGATGAGCTTTGGTTCATACAACTCAACAAATACTTTGTGGACAGACAAACAAAACAACCAATTTGAATATCTGAATAAACATGTCTTAAAGCTAATACAAATTGTACTAAATCAAAAACACCATGCTCTAACAATATAACCTCACTATCAATATTCCATAAACAAAAACTTGAAAAGGATGTAAAACAACAACTTAAAGTAAAACAACAAATAGAACTCAACTTATTTAGCCAAAATAAACATGTAATTACATTGGAAGAAGGTAAAGAATAAAATTAAATTGGAACGGTTGGAATTTTCGCATGGTCCAAAAAGAATTGCAAACAAAACCGTGTGGTCACTAATAATTTACAGTATATCATTAATGTATTTTCAATATAAATAACAATAAAAAAATAAAGAATAAAATAATATGATAAGCATTATTAATTATAATAAAATTTCTTAAAATAACATAATTAAAAATAGCAAGGGATCTAATAAAGCAACATGTGGTAAACTTTTCTTAAAACTCATCTTATAGATTTATGAATAGTTTACTAGTGTTATTTATTAGTCTTGTAGTTGATGATGTAATTTGAAAGCGCATTGGGAGAGAGCGACAATCACCCAAATGCATTGTACATGGTCCAACATTCTAATACGGTCTTAGTGGATGAATCTTCTTTTGTTTCCATTTCACTATCAAAATAAACAAATCATGCCACTTTTATTTAACTTAAAGTATTAATTGTTTGCTAGATTAAAGGTGTTTACAATAATCATTTCAATAAAAATTCAATTAATTATTAAAATCATTCAATTCAATTTAAAATTAATTTATAACTAATTTATATTAATAAATTAATTTATAATCAGTTTGTTATTTTAAACCACTATTATATTTTTGAACTCTTTTAAAACCAAAATTTTTAACTAGTTTATATTAAATGTATCATTTTTCAGAATATTTATTTTTTATAAAATGATTTACTTTTGAAAAAGAAAATTCAATTTTTTTCTTTTAAATTTTTTATTTTCGGAAAAAAATGTTTTTTGTGTTTTCGAATTTCCAAAATAGATTTTTTTTCTATTTCTGAAAAAAATCAAATCTTTGTGTTTTTAAAAGAACCGATTTTTTTTATATTTTTCGAAAACAAATTGATTTTTTCGGTATTTCCAAAAATACTCGACTTTTTCATATTTTTGAAAAGATTCGATTTTTCGTAGTTTTGAAAAAATTCGGTTTTTTAAATTTATGAAAAAATAATAATTTTTATATTTTCGAAAAAAATCGACTTTTTCATAATTTTGGAAAAATTCGATTTTTTCATATGTTCGAAAAAACTCGAATTTTTCATATTTTCGAAGAATAAAAACTCGATTTTTTGTATCTCTAAAAAGTTGATTTTCTGTATTTCTGAAAAAACAGATTTTTTTCATAATTCCGAAAAAACTCAACTTTATCATATTCTCGAAAAAACTTGATTTTTTCGTATTTCCGAAAAACTCGAATCTTTCATATTTAAAAAAAAAACGCAACTTTGTAATATTTTAGAAAAAACTTGATTTTTCGTATTTCCGAAAAACTCGACTTTTTGAAAAAAAATCAATTTGTCATATTTTCGAAAAAAAACTCGACTTTTTTAAATTTCTGAAAAAACTTGATATTCATATTTTCGAGAAAAAAACTCGACTTTTTTATAGTTTTGGAAAAACTTGAATTTTTAATATTTTCGAAAAAACTCGTTTTTTGTATCTCTAAAAAGCTGATTTTCTGTATTTCCAGGAAAAAAACTCGATTT